CAGCGTTAGAGTCAATACCCTGAGAAGGTGATATATAAAGTTGTGAAGGTGAAGCTGGAGCTGGGATGGAGACCCCAGGGATTAAGAGATGCCAGTAATGTGAACTATTTGCTGAGAAAAGCTGTTGTCTGCAGAAAAAAAAAACTCAAAAGAAAACCCATATGTTCTGCTACTGGCAACCAGAGCTGCCCATACACTTTTGGAAGCACATTTCCCTACCAGGTGTTCTAGAGATGTTGTACTTGGAGTTACTGGACCTGTTTGACTGGCTGGGCTTTGGTCTTGTGTTGGCCGTATTTCAATTCTGTTCCTTCATTCTGTGCCATTATTTCTCATTTCAAAATAGGAATGTTTACTCTGTGCCACTGTATATTTATAAGTAACTTGCTATTGGTTTCTACAGGGACTCACAGCAAAGACTCTGCTTTGAGTTTCAGATGATTTTTTTGACTTGGATTTGGGGTAATGCTAAAACTGTAAACACTATGGGACTCTTGAAGATAAATTAAATGAATTTTATATTGTGAGGTAGACATAAATTTTGGGGGAAAGGAGCAAAATCTTATGGTTTAGATATAAGGTCTTCCCCCCAAAGCCCTTGTGTTAATAAAGGAGTATTTGGAAGTGAAATGACTGGATTGTGAGAGCTACAACACAATCAGACCACCCTAGCTCGCATGGATTGACTGAGAGATAACTGTAAGCAGGTGGGGCATAGCTGGAGGAGGTGGGTCACTCAAGCTGTGCCCTGGAAGTATTTATTCTTCCTGGGGCCCTTTCCTTTCTCTCTGCTTCCTTGCTGCCATGAAGGGAGGGTTTCTCTTTGCTGTGCTCTTCCCCCGTGATGTTCTGCCTCACTATGAGCCCAGAGTGAAGGAGTCAGCTGTCTATGAATTGAGACCTCTGAAACCTTGAGCCCCAAATAACCTTTTTCTCCTCTAAATTGTTCTTTGGGGGTTCTTTTGATCACACTTATTGCAAAAGCTGATGGATGAAAATGGACTTGGTTCAATGGCTGGAGATATTCTACCAAGGGAGCTTACATAGATTCTAGTGAACTACAAGTCAATTTTTCCATTTTCTCATTGGGATTATCATTCATCTGAATCATCCATTGAATAAAAATTTTGCATTTCTTATTATTGTTTAATCATGACTAACATGATAACACTTGCCACAGTCTGGCTGGGCACACAATCATGAGCCACCACACAGCTTGTAGATTCAAACAGCAACTCTTTATTCCCGAACTCACACCAGCCGTCTACAATCACGTTCTGGGGAAGTCCACGTTCTCAGCCCAAATCCACCTCCACTGGGCTTCTATCTCCAAAAAATATACTGTCTGAATCACGTGAGAACTCAAGGGGAACTCAGGCAGCAGGATACGCCCTATTCCCAGCAGGAATAATCTTAAACCTTAAACCTGGAACCTAAACTGGGAACGCCCTAAACACGATTATCTTAAAACCGGGAACACCCTAATCTTCCTTGGTCCTTGAGCAAGGTCACCTACATTCAATGTCGCTGCAACATGTCAGCAACATGGGGTACGCTGGCAAGGAAATTGTCATACCTACTTGGCTAATGGCTCCCAGCAAACACTAAGCCACTGTTTCATAGAGATAAGGAAGATTCCACCAGGAACACAAGAGATCCCTTAGGGTTGTCTTAGTGTTATCATTCCCAGTGATTAAGTTGAATGGGAAACTATGACAACTCAATTAAAGAAAGCTAGTAATGTTCTTGGCCTTTTGGGAATGGAGATTTAGATCACCCCTACATGTTAAGAACTATAAACAAATGAAATGTTCACTGAAGGAAAGAAAATAAGAGAATGGGTAGTGGAACTAGGTATTTAGAACACCAGTTATATTCCCATGAGAAGTTAAAATTAAGAATACAGTCATGAGTACTTCTTCTTACGTTGTTTATGAGCATATGTGTGCTGTTTGAAATATATTTATTTTCCCCTCTCTCTTATCCCATGATCATGAATCACTTGATGTGTTCACTTTAGTTCATAGTATTTAAGCACAATGTTATTATATTTACATAACAGTTATGGGATATCAATAGTAAGTGTAAACATCATCCAAATTATTGGCATCCTGTGGTGAGGAGAGATCAGTATGTGTTTGCTTATACTCAGGACATTATATTATGTTAGGTGGGCGAATTGCCTTGTTATTGCCTTATTTGGAGGTAAAGTATGTTTTAAAGAAATGTGTATCAGTGCCAAGTCAACACATGTAGGACTTGTGATGATTAATTTTAATTCATCAACCTAGGAAGTGTTTTGAGATGCTATTAATATTTAAGCCAGTGAAACTTGAGTTGGGCAAAGTATGGATGAGTCTCATCCAATGACTGAGGATCTCAATGTAACATAACCACTTGCTTCCTGAATTACAAGGAATTCTCCAACAACTACCTTTAGAGTGATTGCACCATCAGCTCTGTGGAAGTCTTCTTGAGGCTTCAGACCTGAAATACACAATTAGTTCTAGTAAGTCTTTCTTTGCTGGCCAACACTGCAGACCTGGATCTGCCAGTCTCCATAATTGTAAGAATGAATTCCTCATAAAGTATCTCTCTCTCTCTTTTCTATCTATTTCACTCACACACACACACACACACACACACACACACACACACACCTCTGTTTCTATGGAGAACACTAACTAATAAAACTACTGGGAAAATTTATACATGAATGATATAGGAATTAAAAGGTGCATGACAAAAGCAATTCACACAAAAGGAAGTTGTAGCAGAACATTTGAGGAGCAAGAACATACGATGGATCAAAAACAGAAAAACTACAGCAGTTCTTTATTATCATTTATTACTGAACTATAAGTAAATGAAACTTTTCAATAAGGTAGACAATGGAAGAATGGATTTGAAAGGATGATTAAACTGTGCAATATTTACAAAAGAGCTGCTTATATACAAAGACACAAATAGCATGAAAATGAAAGGATGGAAAAATATTCACTCATTATCTGCTCCTGGAAAACAAAAGAAGTTATTATTTGACAAAATAGGCTTTAAGAAAAAATATGTTAGAAGAGAAAAATAAACAATATATATCTGGAGGCACGAGTTATTGAAGAGAATATTATTAAAAACAAATGTGATGGACATTATTACCCTGGGTCCATGTATGACTGACTGCACATGTGGTGCAATGCTACATTGTGTACAATCAGAGAAATGAAAAGTTGTGCTGCAATTGTGTATAATGAATAAAAATGCATCCTGCTGTCATATATACCTAATTAAAATAAATAAATTAATTAAAAAAATAGTCATCTATCATCTGGTTCTCAAAATATATGGAGAAATGTAAACAAAATTAAAAGGAGATCTAGACCATTTCTATAGTAATAGACTTTACTATGTGACTTTTAATAATGAATAAAATAGCTAGGAAGAGGATCAAGATAAAATAGAGAATATGAATAACATCATAATCCAAAAAATCTTAGCAGACATACAGAGTCTTCTGTCCAAGAACTGCTGATTCTGAGTTGCACGTGAAACATTCCCTAGGGCAAACTATATCTTAGGCTAAAAATATATTCTCAATAAACATAGGAAGATTTAAACCACAGAAAACATCTTCACCTGCCACAATGCAATTGAAGTAAAAATCAATAACAAGAAAAATTTTAGTATTCCCACATGTAAGAATACGTTATAATCAATGAGTAAAAAATGGAAGGAAAGAAATTATAAAATAATTTGAGACAAACAGAAGTAAAACAACAAAAAAAGTAGATTTTGGCAGAAGCAGAAATTTGTCATGGTAAGTGTCTATGTTAAAATTAGAGTGATCTCAAGGAAGTAAGCTGACTTCAAAGTTGAAGAAAATATTATTATAAAGTGAAAGCTTAAACTGAAAGTATCAAAGAAAGAAAATAAAGATTAGATCAGAGTAAATAAATAAGATGTAAAATAAGAATAGGTATAATCAATAAAACCAAATATTGATTGTGTGGACAAAAAATGACAAAACTTTGAAGACTATGAAAAAAGAGAGAAAATTCAAATTAACAAAGTCATAAATAAAACTGAGAATATAACCTCTGACACTATTTATCCAAGAACCAAGTGAATTTTGTGAATAGCTCTATAACAATATATTGGAAAACACTGAAAAATACAGATTCCTGAAAATACCCACACAAGCAAAATGGACTATAATAAAGAACTCTGAATATACTCATAAAAACTGCAGATAATCAATTAGTAAAAATAATATTCCAACAAAGCAAACCCCAGGAGCAGATAGTTTCTATTTGCATTCTCCAAAACTAACATATAATTGTAATGTATCATGATGACATGGAAGAGACTACATGTTTTGGCTGTTTTCTATGGTTGCTATAACTGTATTGCATATATGAAGTTTAGACAGCACATATGAATTCTTTCACAGAAACCAGAAGCTTGAAACCATCTTCCTGAGCTGTGACCAATGTGTCATCAGAGTCTTGGTCTCTATATCATCTCTAGGTGAAACTCCCACATTCACACCTTCCACCTTGAGGTGGCGGCTACCATCAATGGTAACATCCCCTGCATCCATGGTCTTGTTGCCAACTCCCCTTTTTCTGTGGTCATGTTTTTCTGACTTTCTTTCATAATATGCATGGGATTGGCTTTAAGGCATGCATGGTTAATTTCAATGGCTTCTCAGTCCTAAAAGTCTCAGTTAATCATACCTGCATAGTTAGTTCCTGTGTGCCAGGTAGAATAACTGAAAAAAGGTTTTAGAAAACAGCACTTGACTAATTATAGGGCCAACATGGAGCTTGTCAGCATTCCATATGCCAGTCACACTATGCACCGTGTTTGAATTTTTCCACCAATGCATAATAATTTCAAAATTAAAGACCATGAAATATGTGCCACATCACATGGAAAAGATCATAAAGAAATGAGTTCAGGTACTATGCATCTCAAAAAAGTTAAAAGCAGAATCATAAAGATTATTTTGCCTTTAAAACTGTCTTTGTGAATGCGCTCTTGACCTCCTTGTTCCTCAGGCTGTAGACCATAGGGTTCAGCATGGGGATGACCATAGTGTAGAACACAGATATGATTTTGTCAGTGTCCATGGAGTGACTGGAGCTGGGCTGTAAGCACATGAAGATTAGAGTCCCATAGAAAATGGAGACTGCAGTGAAGTGGGAGGCACAGGTGGACAGAGCCTTCCTATGTCCTGTATCTGAGCGCATCTTCAGGATTGTGATGAAAATGAATACGTAGGATATTATGATAACTATAACACCAAAAAATATATTGAAGCTGGCTACATAAATAAGAACCAGCTCATTAACATGTCTCTCCGAGCATGAGAGAACCATGACTGCTGGAATTTCACAGAAAAAGTGATGGACCACATTGGAAAGACAGAACACAAGACTGAACGTGTTCCCAGTGTGGATGGAGGCATTCAGGAAACCAATGACATAACAGCCTAAGATCAACCACATACACATACTTGTTGTCATGGTGGTGGTGTAGTACAGGGGCTTGCACACTGCTGCATAGCGATCATAGGCCATTGAGCACAAGAGGAAATTTTCAACAGTAGCTGAGACTACAAAAAAGAACATCTGAGCAGCACAAGCATTGTAGGATATGACCTTGTCTCCAAGAAGGAGGCCAGTCATGACCTTGGGAGTGACAGCTGAAGAGTAGCACAAGTCCACCAGAGACAGGTTACCCAGAAAAAAGTACATGGGAGTGTGGAGACGGGAGTCCAAGACAATCAACAGGATCATCCCCAGGTTCCCAACCAGAGTGATGGTGTAGATGAGGAGGAAGGTCACAAAGAGGGGGACTTGTAGATCTGGGTCATTGGTCAGTCCCAGAAGGATGAACTGTGTCACTTCTGTCCTGTTCTCCATCTATGTTATCTGAAGAAGACAGTGAAATTCTACAGCATGAGAAAAATGAAAAGAATGAAAAGGAAATTATAGTGAACTTGGGAAGTATGCATATCCTATGTAGTCTTTCAAAAACTTGCATGCTAAAAATTCTTCAGAAAAAGCATTGAACTTAAAACCGTGTTTGGGAAAAAAAAACAACAAACCGTATTTGGCGTACAAGTTATATATATAATTATTTGTGACAAATTATATATAATTGTATATGTAACAGGGTGACATACTGTCAAATTGAGGAACATTAATGAATTATGAACATAATTTTTAAAATTTTAATGCTATTTAAACTGTGATTAGATAATTACTACCCTTTGGAAAATAACATAAGGGTAGGTACATCTCTCCAACCATATACTTCTGCTGAGCTGTCAAAGCTGGCCCTTCCATGTTTCTCACTGACCTACAACTGCTCTAGACATATCAGATGTGTATTCATTGTTTCCTCTCAATAATATTAGGAGTTTGGTTGGTTGCAATATTCATGCAAATTATGAAGCAAGAGAGGCTTGGATCACAGCTCTAGACGAACTCTATTCAGCGTGCAGAAGTGATTTTGTGAGAAGCCATGCCATCAGATTTAGCAGACATAGAGTTTGGGTTCTAGTAAGAAACTCACATCAAACCTACCATTAACCACTAAGAATCACCAATCCTAACACAACTATCCTGAGCACATTATGTCCATCTGCATAGTGAATATCATAAGGAGGACTATTATGAGGTATCATGGTGGGAATCAAATAAGATATGCAGAAAAGACAACAAAATACTGGGTGTAATCACAGCCTGTTTAGTGTAGCTATCATGTTCTTATTAGGATGGGATCATGGTCTTTATCTTGATTTGATGGAGGGCATGCTCACATGCAGACTTCAGTTGTGGGTGAGTTTGAAGTTTTGAAGCTTCTCTCCCCAAATAGCATTTCTCCCACACTAAGTCCACTGACATTTTGTGATCTCTCCACTGACATTCTGTCCTTGCCCCAAGCATGTGACTGATGCTCCTGTAATTTCAATGGGCCACACTCTTAAAATTTCAACAGATGAATAGATAAAAAACATGGTGTGTATGTGTGTGTGTGTGTGTGTGTATAAATGAATATTACTCAGCCTTAAAAAACAATGAAATTATGGCATTTGCTAGTAAATGGATGGAGTTGGAAAATATCATGCTAAGTGAAATGAGCCAATCCCCAAAAAGCCAAAAGCAGAATGTTTTCTCTGATAATGTGGATGCTAATTCACCGTGGTTGGGGTGGGGGAACTAAGGAAGAATAGAGTTACTTTAGATCAGGTAGAGGGGAGTGAAGGGAAAGGGGGGGGTATGGGGATATGAAGGACAGTAGAATGAATCAGACATTATTACCCTATGTAAATATATAACTATATGACCAGTGTGATTCTATATCACGTGCAATCAGAAGAATGAGAAATTACACTCCATTATATATAATCTATCAAAGTGCATACTACTGTCTGTATAGCTAATTAAAACAAATTTAAAAAGTCTTCTTTAAAATGCATATATTTTGTTTGAGTAGAAGAATCCATTTTTCTTTACAACAACAACAAATATTCTTTCTCTCCTACTGTCACTCCATAGACAAATCTCAGAAACCCAGGGTTAAAAGCTTCCAGTTTATGGGCCGTCTTTAGCTTTTGCTGTATATTCCCTTTCCTGTAATATCATATTTCAAATTTTCTTTGTAGTAACATTATTTTTTAAAAAATTTGCATTGAGCATTTGGAAGAATTTCTACCCCAAAATAATTATTGTTCCCTAACATCACATCTCCTAGGACTTTGACTTCTTCACTTTATGTGCCTGCCTCCTGTGAAGTCATTGTGTTGGTCTAATGTAACACACATCACCTTAACCAACATATATTTCCACAAGAAATTATAAGGGCTTTAGGCATTCATGTGTGGGTAAGGTAGACAGCATACTATTTTTACATAGTCTTTTAGAAAATTGAGGATTTGAGAAGTTTCTGATCTTCCAAAATTATATAGCTAGAATGAGAAAGTCTCAAAATGAAACATTTAATGTCATCTTCTCCAGAATCTAAATGAATGCTTTAAGCTCCCTCATTGTCAAAGTGTATGGAAGTTCTAGTAATGATGAGCAGGAGCCTGCAGGCAGGTGAGGGAGGGCAATTCAGAGCTTCTTAATCCTGAGGACCCCTTTCTAGTTTAAAGAAGGATCGTTTCACTCTTCTAGGATTTTTTTAGGGGGAGGGGTTGTTTGTTTGTTTGACCTATAATGAGTCATAAATGCATAGTGAACAAGATGAAATCACCTGCTAAACAATGAGAGAATCTTCTTTTTCATATTTTCATGTGTATTTTTGTAAAAGTAAGCATGATGTGTCATGAGAATCACTAAATTAATTGTAACAGGCATTTTGACATTTATATCCCAGAGTCTTCTCAGTTTTTCAGAAAAGTGTTGAATTCATTCCTTTCTCTTTTAAAATAACTCTCAGGTACTATGGCCACCGCACTGTTGTTGGTTTTTTGCATAAATTACACTTCTTATTAAGAATATTTAAGGAATACAGAGCTTACCAGTTTGGTGTAGGAGGGGAAAAAAACTCTCAATTCAGAATAGTCAGTCAGAAATCATACAATCCACCACGGAGTACTGCATATATTCTGTGAGTGGATCTCTCCCAGGCAGTAGTCAAAACTTTCCAAGTTGTCCCTGGCATGCAGAAATGGAGGACAGAACACAAACATGGGTAAAGTTCCAAGTTTATCATTAATTCTTTCTGTTTCATTGAAGAATCTCCTTTCTCCTCCTTATTTGTAAAATAAGCCTGATAAGATTATATCTCCCACATAATTCACGGACTATGTCCATAAACAACAAGAAGCCAGGTCTCTAATACATCTTGGGATGAACTTATCGCTTAAATGTCAAACAATAGGACTATTGTCTTTGTGTGATTCCCTGACCCTGTTTAAAGGCCATAGCAAGTCCTCATGTCAGAAGGCCTGTGTGTCCTAAGGACAATCATTCAGATTAATAAACAATGACCAATGAAGCATTGGCATGTCATGTGTTCCTTCAAAAACAATGTAACATTGAGTCCTATACATTTTTTTTCTTTTGAGAATAATACATGGAGATGTGGAGAGAATTATATAGACTTGGAGATCTGTGGCATTTTTACCTGTGAGACTCTCTGTAGTGTCTCATTCTATTTTCTGGGAAACAAGCAATTAAACTACCTGTGGGAATCAATAGGCTACCATAACATGCACAGGTTTTTGTACTGCCTTTTTGTTTTTCAAAAGTTCTAGTTAATGCATAATTCATGTACAATAAAATACACATTTTATAGTATGTAGTTCTAAGGACTTTGTCAAAAGCATGGCCCTGTAACTACTTCCACAATCATGTAAAGCTTTTCATTTGAGCTCCTATTGGATAACTTGCCCATATTCTGCCCTTCGTCAGCTGTTTTCATCCAATTGATTTTCCCTTTGGTAGAATGTCTCCAGCTATTGACATGGAGTACTAGACTACGTTGTCTTTGAATTCCACATTTTTACTTAGAATTTGAAGTCTATTCCTATTTTCAACTGTATCATTGTGAAAACTCATGTATCAAACAATAGTAAGCGTATACATTAATTCCATTCTGTAAGAACCATTTGCTTTTGCTTTAGTCTTTGGTCATTACACTTCAGACTGATCTAAATAGTTGTTTCAACTTTGTGGGGGTGTGTGTGAATATCAGCTTTATGGCACATGTGTAAATATAAAGGAGTCTGGTTGATTTGTGAAAGAATAAGTACTTCTTGATTGAATAAAAAAATTTGAAACTATTTTCTGAAAGTCTCTTCACCTTTGAATTCCCACCAACAATCTATTTGCGTTGTTTCACATTTTTATTTTTATTTGGTATTTAAATTAAATTTTGGTATTCTTTAACACATCTATAGAAATTTCTTTAGCAAAACTTGTTTTCTTCTTAAACAGCCACTGAGATGAGAGATGAATGTGAATTACATAGTGGGTCTAGATGCAAGCTACCATTTCCTTATATGATAGAACTGAAGTAAAAGGTAGTTTGAGGCATACCAAGGGCTTGTTACACCACAGAATACCCCCAAAGAAATTGAAACCTCTCTGAGTCTAAAGGCTGGGTTCCTGTGAAATTTTCTAATATTTTTGGAATTTTTTAGTATTTTTAGAAAATTAGTTATTAGTGAATCAGGAAAAAATCATGTCATTTACTTTTAAACGGATGAAACTTGAAACCAACATGCTAAGTGAAATTAGCCAGAGATAGAAAATGTCAAATACTTTTTCTCATATGTGGACAAAGAGAAAGTGGTGTGTGGGGAATAAAAAAGTGATATCATAAAAATAGAAGGTGTATCTAAAGAGTAGAGAAGGGGATTGGGAAGGTATGTGGGGAGGACATAAGGAAGCACTAAGGAATGAAATCTACCGAATTATGCTATGTTCATGCCTGATCATAGTATAATGAATCCTACTTTATATATATGTATATATATATATACACACACACATATATATAGTTTATATATATAGTATGTGTATATATTACTTTATACATATTATTTACATATATAATATATAAACTATTGTTTATATACATAGCATGTATATATATAATTTATATAAGTATATATTATTTTGTATTATATATATTATTTTATTATATTTATATACTATTTGTATATTATATATGATATTATAAATATTATTTTATACATTATGTATAAACTATATTTCAATTATTTTGATTGTGGAGAATTGAAATCAACAAATTAAAATAATAATAGAAGGCAGATCAACAGAATAGACTATGTTGATCATGCGGAGAAAGAGGAGGTGAAGAAAAAGGAGGTACTGGGGAATGAGACTAATCAAATTACATTATATGAACATATGAATATTGAATAATCAATCCCATTGTTATGTGTAAT